TGCAAAGCTATAATATAGTGCAAAGGTGAAGTCCGAAAGGAATACCTTCAAGATAAATGGTGGAACTAGTTCTTCTACAGCATTGTCTGCTGGATTTTGTGTTTACATTTCACCCCAAGTCTTACACCCGTGCTACCTTTATTATTCTGCTTTACTATTCTGTTATATTTACCTTTGTTAATTCAGAATCAGACTGAAGTATTCAATTTCGTCATCTGAAATCTTTTCTTTCACTGGACTCTTATTTAACTTTTGCTCCAATCCCTGTGGACGATATTCTGGTACTTGTACCACTTTATTACTTGGAAAGACGATATTGAGCCATATTGTATACTTGCTTTGTGGCCCAATTCTTTAGTCTAGAGGTGTTAGTAATAACCCGACCAAGTTTTTGGCGCCGCTGCCGGGGAATCTGGCAAGCTTAAAGTTTTCTTTTGAGTAAAGTAAAAGATTTGATTTTTCTAGTACCTGTTTTTGAAAAGTGGTGTATGCCAAGAACACATCGCGGAGAATTTTTCGAATTTGATCCAGACATTGAGAGAACGTTTCACCATAGAAGGAGGGCTCAAAGAGCATTTCAGGCTCTACTCCCTCCTAACATGGAGTTACATGCTCCCATTATTCCGGAAGTACCACATTTGGAAAACCAACCGCCAATTTTTGGGCAAATACCACCGTTCCCAAATTTTCACCAGGGAAACCCACATCATGATAATGATAATAATTTGGACACTGAATCAGACCCTAATGAGCAACAAAGGGCACAAACTCCAAATATCATTAATCTGGAAAACTCCAAAAATGGAAGGATCATGGATTATGCTATCCCGGATTTTGAGCAATTAAATTCTGGGATAGTTAGACCACATATGACCGCTCTTCATTTCAAACTAAAATCGATAATGTTTCACACTTCTTATATTGGTATGTATGTCAGGTTCCTTTAGCGGCGGGACTTCAAAGGGTTGAGAGGAGTGTTAGATGGTGAAAGTTTATTTTTGGAACTAGCCTTTGGTGCTTGAGCGTTGCATCGGTGGATGTTACGTAAATTTTTGGAAGATGAGAGGAACACCCATACTTAATCTAAGCGTAGAAGTGTTTAGATTAGTAGGTTGTTTTCATCGTCTCATTTGTCGTCTCTTGTGTAAACGCTACACTTTTCCCCATTGTTGGGTGATTTTCTTTTGAGACTTAGCTTTCGTCAAGTTCTTGTTTGGGTCCTAGCTACCTTATGAACATATATATATATATATATATAATATTTATATATATATATATATATGTTCTTTTAACTAGACTATCCCCTTTTTTTAGGGTGTTACAAGTTGGTATCAGAGCACTAGTTTAAGCGAACTAGGCAAGGGATTTAGACGCCTAGACTTAAGCTGAGTTTGTAAGTGGTTATTTGTGAGACGGGGTAGAAACTTTTAGGATATGAGAGCTTTAAAGTCATCGGAGTTGCACCATTCATGAATTGTGACGATGGTGTTGAGGATCCTTATGTATAACCTATTCGAAATTTCACTTAGCTAATGTTATTTTGAGTATGTTGTTACATAAGCATGTTTGAACTCACTATTTTTACAAGGATTTATGAATGTGTCGTTACGTATCAACTCAGTTTCGTATTCTAGCTATCCTGACTCTCTTTCACTCTCTTGCATAACAGATTAAATGGTGAATACTCGAAGTAGATGGGATACCTCACCAGAAGGTCATGCGGTGACTGAATCACCGCGGATCAACCGCCACGGACCACCATCACAAGGGTACATCCTAGGCAAAACACCTTGGGCGATGGAGTTGATCACGTTCCCTAAGTTGACCTTGCCACCTCTAATCCCGTAATGGAAGAGGAAACCCCGGAGTCAAGAATGATGAGCACAATGATGAACGCTATGAACAAAGCTATGGCCCAACAACAAGAGTTCTTTATGAAGTTGTTGGAAGATAGAGATGCTAACAACCGTAAGCATGAAGAGGTTGCCGAGAACGTAACTATTGTGGGATCTGGGGGTACCGGAAATGGAATCCTAACCCACGAGTTGGCGACGATTGATGCAAGACAAGTGGGAAGGGTTTGCTCCTACCAGACGTTTTTATGTTGCAAGCCACCAGAGTTTGTGGGGTCAGATGACCCCGTTACTTGCATGAATTGGCTTCGAGAGATCGAGCAATCCTTCCGAGCTTGTGACTGTGATGAGGGACAAAAAGTGAGATTTGGCTCTCAAATGCTAAGGGGTGCAGCCCTTACCTGGTGAAACATTGTCATTTCAACCATGGGGGTTACGGATCTGGCCAAGATGAGCTGGACCACGTTTAAGGAGAGGGTATTATAGGAGTATTGCAACGAGCAAGAAATGGACCGCATTGAAGAAGAGTTTCGAACCCTTAAGAAGGGAAATTTGTCGGTAAGAGACTATACACGACTTTTCATGGAAAAGCTAAACTTAGTGGGGCACGTGGCTCCTACGGAGAAGGAAAAGATAAAAGCTTACCTCAAGGGGTTACCTGCGGACATGATGGTAATGGTCAGGAACTCTAGAGCCTCCACCCTTAGGGAGGCAATTAAAGAGGTGAAAGTCATGGAATCGGTGTATGTTAAAGGAAGGGAAGAGAAAGTGGCAAATGGTGAAAAGAGAAGGTGGGAAGGTCATTATGTGCCTTCCAAGAGGCCCAACCATTTCAACAACAACAATCGTGAGGCCTATCCTAGAAAAGAGGCTAGGTGGTGTCCCAAGTGCCGCAGTAAACACCACGCCCCGTGTACCACCAACCCTACTCCTGTAAGATGCTTTAAGTGTGGGAAACTAGGCCACTCACAAAATGAGTGTCCGATCAAGGGACCCATCTATTTTGGATGCGGAGAGCCAGGTCACTTCAAGAATGATTGCCTGAAATTGAAGGCGGGAGGGGGTCAGGGAAGAAAAGAAGGTACATCGAAAGCAGTCGGTCGAGCTTTTCAAATGACGGCGGAAGAAGCTAAGGCATCGACGGATGTGGTGTCGGATACGTTCCTTGTTAACTCTGTACCTGCGCATGTGCTTTTTGATTTGGGTGCTTCATGTTCTTTTGTGTCCACTGCATTCTATCAACCTTTGTATATGCCCCCTAGTGCACTAGAAGTTGCCCTGATCATAGAGATAGCGAATGGTATTCGAGTACTGGTGAGTGAAGTTGTTAGGAGTTGCATATTGGGGATCGAGGGAAAAGAATTTCAAGTAGATCACATACCCATGTCTATCGGTGGATTTAGATGTCTTAATTGGAATGGATTGGTTGATAAAGAACCAAACGGAAATCTTACATTCTAAGAAGTTGATACGAATTCCTTTGCCGGATGGGGATGCAGTGCTAGTTTACGGAGAGGGAAGAAAGGGAAATGTAGTACTCCTATCCATGGCAAAGACGTGCAAGTGTCTAGCTAAGGGACGCCCCTCGTTCATCGCATATGTGTTGGATACCAATCTAAAAAAAAGGATTGAGGACGTGAAGGTGGTTAGCGAATTTCTCGACGTATTTCCAGAAGACTTTGCCCGGATTACCACCTGATAGGCAAGTGGAGTTCTATATCGACCTTATTTTGGGAACCGCTCCAATCGCTAGAGCACCCTACCGTTTGGCGCCATCCGAAATGCAAGAGATGGCGTCTCAATTGCAATACCTTCTAGAGAAAGGATTTGTTAGACCGAGTTCGTCACCGTGGGGAGCTCTAGTCTTATTCGTAAAGAAGAAAGACGGCACCATGAGGATGTGTATTGATTACCGAGAACTCAACAAGGCAACCGTGGAGAACAAATATCCTCTCCCTAGGATCGATGACCTTTTCGACCAGCTTCAGGGAGCAAGTTGCTTCTCAAAAATCGACCTACATTCGGGATATCACCAAGTCCGAGTGAAAGAAGATGATGTGGCAAAAACAGCTTTTAGGCACAATACAGACACTATGAATTCTTGGTCATGCCTTTCGATCAGACGAATGCACCGACAGTATTCATGGACTTGATGAACCGAGTGTGCCGACCATTCCTTGACAAGTCAGTAATAGTGTTCATTGATGATATACTCATTTATTCCAGGGACGAGTCGGACCATGAGCAACACCTTCAGAAAGTCCTCGAGGTGTTAAGAAATGAGAAGTTGTATGCAAAATTCTCCAAGTGCGACTTTTGGTTGAAGGAGGTTAAATTCTTGGGTCACGTTGTCACTCGAGACGGGGTGAAGGTGGACCCATCCAAGATTGAGGCGATGATGAATTGGGAACCACCAAAGAGTCCATCAGAAATCTGAAGTTTCTTGGGTCTGGCAGGTTATTATAGGAGGTTCATCCAAGATTTCTCCAAGGTCGCTTCTTCCTTAACGGCGTTGACTAGGAAAAATGTGAAGTTTATATGGACTGAAAAACAAGAAAATGCTTTCAGAACTCTCTAAAAGAAACTATGTGAAGCCCCGATCCTCTCCTTGCCGAAAGGATCCGAAGACTTCATAGTTTTTAGCGATGCTTCGAAAATGGGGTTGGATTGCGTGTTGATGCAAAGAGGAAAGATGATTGCCTACGCATCAAGGCAACTCAAAGATCACGAAAAGAACTATCCCACCCACGATTTGGAGTTGGCAGCAGTGGTGTTCGTCTTAAAGCTTTGGCGACATTACCTTCATGGTACCAAGTGCACACTTTTCATTGATCACAAGAATTTGAAGTACATTTTCGATCAGAAAGAATTAAACATGAGGCAACGACGTTGGCTCGAACTGCTCAAAGACTATGATTGTGAATTGCTATACCATCCGGGTAAGGCAAATGTAGTGGCCGATGCTTTGAGCCGAAAGGAGTACAGTAGTGGGACGAAAGTTGTGCTTACCAGAATCGATATAGTGTCCAGTCTTATCGATAGGATCAGAGTGGCACAATGTGAAGCACTTTTCGAAGAGAACCTCAAGAGTGAAGTAATGATGAAACAACGCTTACTTCTGACGGAGGATGGTCGTGGCTTGAAATTGTTTCAAGGCCGTATCTGGGTACCCAAGATTAGAGGCAATCGCGAACTGTTGCTAGAAGACTCGCACAAGTCCAAATACTCCATTCATCCGGGTAGCACCAAGATGTATCGGGACTTGAAATTGACATATTGGTGGCTTGTTATGAAGTTGGATGTGGCTCCTTACATGGAGAGGTGCGTGACTTGTTTGCAAGAGAAGGCGGAGCACCAACGACCTTATGGTAGTCTTTAATCCTTGAAGATTCCCGAATGGAAGTGGGAGCATATTACCATGGACTTCGTGACCAAACTACCGAAGACTCTAAGAGGTCATGACATGATATGGGTAGTGGTTGATCGACTAACAAAGAGTGCACACTTCTTAGCAATGCGAGAATCGTTGCCAATGGACAAACTTGTCAGGTTATACATCGATGAAGTAGTTTCGAGGCATGGTATACCATTGTCTATAGTATCAGATCGGGATAGCCGATTCACCTCCCATTTATGAGGTGGCATGCAGAAAGAGTTGGGCATGAGAGTGAAGTTGAGTACAACTTACCACCCTCAAACCGATGGTCAGAGCAAGCGGACCATTCAAACCCTCGAAGACATGCTTAGGTCGTGCGTTATTGACTTTGGTGGGAATTGGGATTCACACCTACCTCTTGTGAAGTTCTCCTACAACAATAGCTACCACTCTAGTATCGGGATGGCACCTTTTGAAGCATTGTATGGACAAAAATGTGGGACTCCTGTGTGTTGGCTTAAGGCGGATGAGAAATAGTTCATCGGCCCTGAAGTCATGCAAGAAACGGCCGATAAGGTGAAGTGTATTAGGGAACGCTTAAAGGCGGCTTAGGATCGACAAAAGAATTATGCAGACAAGAGGAGCCGACTTATGGAATTCCAAGTGGGCGACTGTGTAATGCTAAAAGTGTCCCCGTGGAAAGGCATCATCCGTTTTGGGAAGCGTGGGAAGCTAAGTCCTCGTTTTCTTGGGCTGTTTAAAATCTTGGATAGGGTGGGACTCCAAGCTTACAAATTAGAACTACCACCTAAGATGGCCGGAATCCATAACACATTTCATGTGTGTTACCTTCGTAAGTGTTTGGCGGAAGAGGAAAATGTAATACCACTTTCGGAAATTCATGTGGATGAGAGCAACCGCTGTGTTGAAGAGTCGGAATCCATCTTGGAAAGAAAGACCAAGGTGTTGAGGCATAAAGAAATTGTCATGCTTAAGGTACAATGGAAGCATCATCGAGGGTCCAACGTGACATGGGAAGCGGAGCATGACTTGATGATGTGTTACCCTCGCCTTTTCACATGAACAAAATTTTGTGGACGAAATTTGATCCAAGGTGGAAAGGATTGTAACACTTGAGATTTTTCTCAAATCTCTGTTCCATATACGTCAAGGGTTTCCACCTCGTTAAGTGACGTTTACGTTTTGTTGGAAGTGTATAAACTTTTTAAATTATAAGTCTTTTTTTTATAAAAAAAGAAAGAAAAAAAAAGGGGGGTGTGCTGTCACTCGCCTAACCTCATCCTTTTGTTTAAGGGTTATATTTTTTTTTATTCCTTGGTGGGGGGAAGAAGGGGATTGTTGGGCAGAGAAAGAAAAGAGGAAAAGAAAGAAGAGAAGAAGAGAAGGAGATTGGGGCAGTACCTGAGAAAGGGGAGGAGACAACGTGGTTTTGGGATGTGAATAATAGGCGGGAGCAGCAACAAGCTTCATTTTCTGCCTTCCTTTTTGTTCCCAAAATTTCAGGATTTCTCCCAAATCTTGCAATGTGAGTTCATCCTACCCCCCTTTTTAGAAGCTTTATACTAATCGAAATTATGTGTTATACTTGTCTTATACTTTAATTCTAGGTGATTACTTGCTTGGTTGAAATAGAGATTTTAGGTCAAAGGAGTAAAGTTGGGTGTCCTCTCTATAATCATAAGATGAGTTTGGAAAATGGTTTAACCACTTGGTAAAATACTTGTTTGAAAGTATGGTTGGACATAAAACTCTAAAAACCCTCATGTTCCACGATTTGGAGTTAATTATTGGTAAAATGGGAATGTTCATTTGATTAAGAACTCATGCAAAAATTTGAGTGATGTACAAGTGGTTGTATGCTTATGTTAACGTATTTAAATATATCACTAGAATGTGATGGGTTTGTAGGCATGTAAGTCGTTTTATTATATTTGTGTGAAGGATGGTGTAGGTTGGAAAATAGGCATTGTGATCACTATGTAATTTCCAAATCATCTTCTCACTTCCACTCGGAAATAGGCATTGTGATTATTATGTAATTTTTGAGATAAAGAGCTTAAGATCACGACCGACTACATGACTGGTTTAGGTTGATGTCAATGGTATTATACTTGTAAGTGATGCTCTATAACGTTGATCTATGACTTACTTTGTGTTCCGTCATAATTAACGGTAAATCGGGTCTCCCCCGTCATCTTCAGATGTTTTGACTCCACACCAAGACTTTGTGAACTAATTATTCATCCGGTATCGTTTAAGGTTACGTTGTATTTATTTATATATATATAGGGGTTTTAAAGTTTTATTTATTCCACTGTTTGGACTCACTAGACGTAAGCCCAACACTTCTAATATTGGTATGTATGTCAGGTTCCTTTAGCGGCGGGGCTTCAAACGGTTGAGAGGATCGTTAGATGGTAAAAGTTTATTTTTAGAACTAGCCTTTGGTGCTTGAGCGTTGCATCGGTGGACGTTACGTAAATTTTTGGAAAATGAGAGGAACACCCGTTCTTAATCTAAGCGTAGAATTGTTTAGATTAATAGGATGTTTTCATCGTCTCTTGTGTAAACGCTACACTTTTCCTCATTGTTGGGTGATTTTCTTTTGAGACTTAACTTTCGTCAAGTTCTTGTTTGGGTCCTAGCTACCTTATGAACATATATATATATATATATATATATATGTGTGTGTGTGTGTGTGTGTGTGTGTTCTTTTAACTAGACTATCCCCTTTTTTTAGGGTGTTACAAGTTGAGATAATCCTTATATGATTATTATGTCAATATATGTGAAGATGTGCATATTTTTATGAAATTAATAATATGCATATGTGAATGTATGGGTGATACATGTATGCATGTATGGTAATGTGCTTACATGAAGAATTATTAATAATATGTGGGTGCATATTCATGGGTGAGGAGGAGAGGTTTTTAATATAAAAGCCTCCACCGCCTCGTGTGTATTTTATAATATTAAACACTACAACGCCTCGGATAATATATATATATATATATATATATATATGGGGGATAAGTTCGATCTTATCCTATTTATCTTCTTG